CAACCCTCAGTATACCCTACTCAGCTCTCTGATTGGCTCAGCCACACTGGGGTCTTTCTATTCTATTATATGTGACACATGCTCCCTCATCAGAGCCTTTGCTGCTGTTCTTCTCCTTTCCTGGGATGCTCTTCCTCAAGGGAGTTATAGCTCACTCCCTCTGTTTCTTTCAGGTTTCTGCTCAAATATCCCTTACTGATGAGACATTCTGTGACAACCCTCTGTACTAGCAACCTTCTCTGTTCCTCCCTCATCCCATGTGCCCTTGATCCTGTTCTACTTTTCTCTCCCACCACCTGAGATTAAGGAAGGGACTTTGTCTATTTTTTTTCACTCTTACATCTCTCATATTGCGAGCAGTGCCTGGCACATGATTGATGCACAATATTTGTTAAATGAATGAACAGGGCTGTTGGATGGATGGAGTCAATTAGAGGCCAGTGACTGTCACACTAAGTTACATGAATCCTCTCCTAAAGCTCTGCTATTCGAGTCTTTATGAGAGTGGACAGTAAGGCCAGTATTATAGAAAGATGAAACTAGTGGACCTGTCCATGATGAATTAGAGAAATGACCCAGGAAACCTGTTAGAAGCCTTTTTCAATAACTCGTCCACATTATTATGAGGTCCTAGACTAAGATGGTAGCACTCAGAATGCACAAGAATGGCGAGAAGATAGACAGAGCAGGTAGCTACCAAATGCACAAAAGATACGACATTGCTTAAGTTTCACTAAAACATTAGGCTGCAGCAATGCTGCATTTCCTAGTTCCCATGCCTGAAGGTGGGCCCAGACTTTGATGATATTAGTTTGTGTCACTATTATAATATCCACACATGTTCTTGCAGCTTTGCTCTGCAGCTTTGTTCTATTGCGTATGTAGGCATTGGAACAATCTCCTGCAAAAGTATGTAATCATGTCAACCACTTGTTTTTATAAACAAGCCCACAGTGACCTGTATTGCATTTAAATCTAGACTCTGGTTTGGCCTTTGAGATTTAATACCAATTCTTTTATTACCCTCTTCTCATTCTTTTAGGTCCTATTCCCTCACCATACTGATGAAATAACTTCATTTAGGAAAACCCATTATTAAAAGTCACATTTATGACTCCCTCTTTCCTGCTACCCAAACAATTAGTGTCACTTTTCTGCTACAAAATGATTTATATTTGGACTGGAGTCTTTTACTCTTCTTACAGCTTCCTTAAAGCTTTTATTTATTTACTGTTTTTCAAGTGTGGAGAAAAATGATACCATGATCCATTAATACATCTCCTCTTTCAGAAGACCAAGCACAGACATCCGAAGCACATTATTTCAACTTTCATCTTTTCAGTTAATAATGTGTCTTAGAGGTCTTTCCATATCAACACATGAAATTCTAGCCAATTCTTTTTAACTGATGCAGAATATTTCATCATGTGTTATGTGGATGTGGATATGTAGATATGACATAATGGAGCATGAGCTCTAGAACAAGACTATTTCAAAATCCTGCTCTACCACCTGCCAAGTGACTTTAAACAAATTCCTTAATCTCTGTGGGTCTCATTTTCTTCATTTATAAAATGGGGAAAATAACCATGCTTACATCATAGAACTGGTGAAGATTAAATGTAATAATTTATGTAAAGCATTGGAGTCTGCCAACCACAGAATAAGTGCTTAATAGATATTAAGCACTGTTAATTTTGCTCTTCCATTGCTGGTATTCTTACTGTTACTGCTGCACTGCTGATGAATACTTGATTTGTTTCCAGATTTTTGCTATGACAAGCAATGCTATAATGAACATTATACATATGTCTGAAAACTTGAGGGCTGTATATTCCTGAATATAAATTCCTATAAACAGTTCTTAGGTCAAAGAGAATGTGCCTAAAAATATTATCTATTGCTAAGTTCACATTTAAAAGGGTATTCAAAATGACATTCCTACCAGCAGTTTTAGAAGTGCATTACACATCTTCATCAGCCTTGGATATTATCAAATTTCTAAATGTTTACCAATCCTAGAGTTACTATTTTGATTTGGATTTCTTTACATTTGAGGCAGGTTAAACATCTTTTATAAGTTTATTATTGGTGATTTTTACAAATAATGATGAACTGCTTATTTATATCTTTTGGTTTTTTTCCCACTATCTTTTTCTTGCTCATTTCTGAGGCTGCCATACCTTATAAATAATGCTATTGACATACCAGTTTTCCTAAATGTAGTTACTGTGAAAGTTAAACATAACTGTGGATTAGTTATGTTTACTTGATATTATTCTGTAAATATCTTAAAGCTTCTTTCCACCTCTTCCCCCTCAATATATCCTGAACATTCACACCAAATAGGTATTGGGGTAAAAGTATTTTACTTCTTCTCCGTTAACCTCTCCTATTCCCTGTTACTTCAGTAGTACTAGCTCGTTTGCAAAATTCCATGGTGCAGGAGCCTTGTTATAGACATTTCAAAAGAATGGACTTAGTCACAGTCCTAAGATATAAACCACACACTGGGTCATGTGAAACCTAAAAAAAGAAAAGTTGACTAGAAGCTATGTAGGCTGTTTGTATATCTCCAAAGGCAAGCATGCTTAGGTCAATGACAGCAAATAAAATGACTGGCTTCTTCGTGTGGCACCTGTGGGGAAAACTTGGAGCCAATAACTGAGCTTTTTTATATACCTGTAATTGTATGGTTCCTTGGAAATGGGGACAGCAATGATGATAATGTGACTGTACTATGGCCCTAGTGGCCTTAGTGAGCTCTGTTCCCAAAATAATAATAATCATAGCCTCTTCTGTGAGAGGTCTGCTGTGTGTGAGTACTATCCAGAGGTTTTACATGTATCTGCTTTATTCCTCAGAGTATCTCTTCAAGGGATGCAATCTCCATTTGCAGATGAGGAAATAGCAATTCAGTGTGGTGCAGCACCTCACCCTAGATCATGCTGGCAGCGAAGGACAGAGGCCTCAACACCCAATATGCCACACTGCTGCTACACCATTTGCTTTGTGTCTCTGCAGTAGAATCATTCACATTTTGCCTTGTGTACATTTTCATCAGCCTTACAATAATGTCAAAGTCCATGTCTCCTTCACCTACCCTCCAAGCAGCAATAACTGAGGATGAAAAGATCAACTTGACTTGCCCAAGAACACTTCTTCCTCAATATCTGGATCAGGAGCTGTCTTTAGCTACCTAAACTCTCTGCTAGGAGACAGTCCTAGGAATCTGTTGCCTCCAAGTGTGTGTTGCCTTCTATTTCTGAAAAATACCAAGTAGTTCTAGAGGCCACCGGTATATGGATTTAGGAGACCAATAATGCCTCCAGCCCCTGGTGCAGCAGGTGTCTGAACTCTGTGGCCCATACAGGCAGTCCTATGGCACCAGCTCCCGAGTGACCCATTGTCCAGATAGAGAAGGATCCTTTTCCTAGGGTTTTATCTTTCACTTATATTTTATGATAAGGATTCTGTGATGTTGAAGCCCAGATTTTTTAAAAAATGTATAGACAATTTGGAAAGTAAAGAAAAGCACAAATGAGAAAATAAAAATCTATAGTACCGCTATCATTCAAAGAAGCCATTCTTAACATTGTGGAATATATTCTCTCAGCTAAGCTATACATTAAGTAACATGCAATCAATAAAAGTGGCATTATATGATACATCCTCTGCTTGTAACAAGCTAAGTGCCCTTTCATTCTTACTGGTTATTCCAAGTCAAGTGAAAGCCCATTAGAGCAAAGTGTAATCCTTCCTCTCACTGTGATATCATAGGGTGGAGGTGGTGTTTAAATCATACTTATACCGACTTGATATCATTTAAAACATTGCAAAACACTGCACTTTCCAATGAGGAAACAGCTTAGTCATGCTTGCTGTGCTGAGGTAAGACCAGCATGTCTTTGTTTGTTTTCCAGCCTCTGAGTCTTTCCACAGTGCATTAGTTTCAGGTTTCCGGGTAGCCGGTGGAGCAGACAGACATAAGTAGAACAGATGATCTAACAGCAGGGCCCGATGGGATATTGTTGGGAATTGCCATCTGTGGCATTCTTATTAAAAATATTATTTACTAAGTAATTCTTTGGTGTGTTTTACATGCACAGAGACCAAAATCAAAAGACACAAAAGGGTATAGAGTGAAAAATAAATCTGCCTCCCACTTTACCTCCCTGCCGTGAGTCTCTCTGCCACCCAGTTGCCCTGTCTGTGGGCATCACTGTCCACAGTTTCCTGTGTGTCCTTAGGGCCAGGGAGATAGCTCGGCAGCACAGCACCTGCCTGGCAAGCCCAATGTCCTGAGTTCAATTTCCGGTACCTGTCCCATACAAAAAAATAGCACATCATGTGTGTCCTTGTGGGAAGCATTCAGAGTTCAAAGGACAGAGGGTCACAGAGGCAATGAAGGGCGCTCTCCTCCATTGCCTCAGTATCCTCTGTGAGGTTATCGCAGTAATCTGACCTGATAATCCCCAACAGCATCCCAAAGGGAACCAAGTCACCTTTAAAGCCCATAGTAACTATACCTTAAGGTTGGGCCAAAACTGCTGCCACTAAGTCTGCCACCGAGAAAGGGAACACAGCTCTGTGCTACCGGAGAAACAACCTCAGCAGGGCCAGCCTGAATCTAGGCTAATCTTAAATCAGGAGACCAAAAGCTTTATCTGCACTGTGCCACGGCTTCACTGTAAGCAAGCTGCCTGGTTTTTCTGAGCCTGGGCTTTTGACTAAGTGATCACCCAAGTCCCTTCCTTCTTTAATAGTGTAAGACTCAAAACAATGCTCAAGCTCTCATATGCATGGCAGTTCCTGGTGCCGTGGGTCTGGGGTGGGCCATGGTTCTGCATTTTCAGCATGTTCCCAGTGATGTGATCCTGCTGCTCCAGGGACTGTGCCTTCTCCTGGGACCTAAGTACCTGGTAGTCCAGGCAAATGTGTACTTCAGAGCTGAGTAGCTGCATCTGGAAAACCTGGCCTTAGGTGTCCTTGCCAAGTACCTGTGTGGCCTCTGGTCCTGGCAGTCCTGCTGGAAGAGAAGACTCCATGAGCTCTACTGTGTTCCAGGCCCCACATGAAATGCTCCATATGCATCCTGTTCCCCTCAGGCCTTGCAACTATCCAGTGGGGTGGGGGCTGTGATTACCCCATCCTGCAGAAAAGAAAGCCAGGGCTTAGAGAGGGTACAATACTCAAGACTGCTCAGCTGGTGAGAGGCAGAGCAGGCATTCCAAAACAGACCTTCTTTTTTTCCCAGTTTTTATTTTGCATTACATAATGATTACATTCATTGTGGGGAGTTGGTACATGTACATAACAGATCTCAATGATTTTTTCATCCCCCTTCCTTTCTCCCCCTCCCCACTCCCTCTGCCTCTTGATCCTCTTCCTATTTGAAAAAGATTTCCCTTCTTCCTATCTTTTGTTTTGCTCATTTTGGGTTTCTCATATAAGAGACACCATGCAATATTTAATCTTATGTGGCTGATGTATTTCACTTGATACTATGGTCTCAGGGTGTATTCATTCACATATGAATGACTCAAGTTTATCCTTCTTTATGGCAGAGTAGTACTCCACTGTGTAGAAACTCCATGTTTTCTTAATCCATTCATCTGTTGATAGACATATAGGCTTCTTTCAACATTTAGCTATTATGAGTTGTGCTGCTATACACATGGATGTGCATGTATCACTGTAATATGATGTTTTTAACTCTTTTAGGATGATACCTAGAAGGAGAATAGCTGGGTCAAATAAAATTTCTCATTTTAGTTTTTGGAGGAACCTCCATACTGATTTCTGTAGCATCCAACACAGATCTTCTGATTCCAGACTCCCAGTCATGACACTAACGCAAAAAAGAGAATGGCATTCTCCATTCCAGCCTTGGAAACAAACACCACAGGGATTGCTGTGTATGTCACAGGCCCTGCTTTTGTGTCTCTGTTTGAGGGGTCCTGCCGTCCGTCAGCTCAGATGTGTCCTCCAAGAAAATATATCTCAGCTTGCAAATCTGTCCTCTGCCTCAAGTTTTCTGGGTAATTCTTAATGGATTCTGATGGCAGCTGCATCACTTAGGAGTGGGAAGGCTCCTTTTCGAGCCTTCTTTCTGCCTCCCTTCACAAGAGAGTTCCTAAGTGCTATGTGAACAGCACTTAGTTTGTGTCAGAGGAAGGCCATGGGCCTTAACAGGCCACATCTATTTTCATTTACCTTCTGAAAGATTAAGGGGAAAATTCAATTTTGCCTAATGCCTCCCCCCAAATGGCTAATTTATATGCTAATTAGCAAGATAGGGATCGATGAAACTGGTAATCAATATGATATCCAAGGCACCAGTAATGAAATTCATTTGGAGATGCACTGCCAGTGGAAATGAAGCAATTATGCAGAATAAATGGGGCAGCTCAGGGAATAGAAGCTCCATATGCACTTGACTGCATTATTTCCCCCTTTACTCCTCCTCTCACTCTTTCCCCACCCCATTAAAATCAACTGTCGATTGAGATCCTTCAAGGCACCACACCGCAGCTTCTTCCTCTCCAAATGTGTGGACCTGTACTGTCCCCGTGGACTTCTGGAAAAACAGCTAGAGAAAATGATAGTTGAGGAGACCAGAGATATATGACAAGAGAATTGGGGGTTAAATAGGAGGTCTTTATACCATATACTGAGTAGTGAATAAGTCCTTTACTTTCACACCTGCTGAGGTTAAGAATTTTTTTTAATTTAGAGAAGGGGGTTGCTGGGGATTTAGCTCAGGGGCACAGCGCCTGCCTGGCAAGCACGAGGTCGTGAGTTCAATTCCCAGTACCGGAAAAAAACTAAAAAAGAAAAAAAAAATTAATTTAGAGAATGGTATCGTTCCTATATGGTCCAGATTTTTTAGAACTGTCATGATTTCAGATACTGCATTCCATGAGACCACATGTCAAATGATGTGTCCTATTTAAATCCAGAGTGAAGCAGGCCATAGTGTCTCCCTAAGATTTAGTCTAATTCTGGGAAATCTTGTTTCATCCAGGGTTTCAGATACTTGGGAGTGGGCTGGGGTGGCTGGAATCATCTCTGCAGATTTGGGAGCATAATGTTATTCATTCCACATTTTTCAACTAAAAACTTGAAAGCAGTCTTTTATCCCAATAACTTCTCATTGGATTTGCCTAGGGAGATTTTCCCCAAATTACATATATCCTGTATTGATTTTACAACTAACATTTTTGTCAAACTTAGCTCATCATGTATCCATCTTACTTTTCTCTCATTGCTGAGACAAAATACCCAGCAGGGGAAATTAAAGGAGGAAAGGTTCATTTAGGTCACATTTTGTAGAGGTTTCAGTCCGTAGGCAGGGTGGTGTTGCAGAGTGGCATCACAGAGGAGAAATAGTTCGTGGTGGCCAGAGGATAGTAAAACAACAAGGGAGAACACAAGCCTCTTTCTGTCCATTATACTGTGTCCAGGCCACCAGGATTATTGTGGTGCCAAACCAATCAGTTTACTAACTTAGTAATCACACACCCTTAAATCCCAGCATCACACTGTAGATTCAGCCACCTCTGAAAAAGCTCTGCCCATGACTGCATGAGGCTTTAAGGAGACATCTAGACCCAAACCTTAATGCCATCCATCTTTCTACCCATTCGCCAGTTTATCTTTTTCTAAAATCTATTTCAAAGTAAGTTGCCACAGTCAATGTACTTCACTCCTAAACACTTCAGCATGTGAATTACTAGAGTTTAATATTTATTTTTAGGTAAAATTTCTAGGCAATGAAACACACAGATCTGAAGAATACAATTCTGTAAGTCTGACAGATGTATACACTGCTGAAATATGAATCCCTTTTACTGGTCACCCCTGAAGTTCCTTTCTGCCCCTTCCTAGCCACTCCCTACTCTCAGCCTTCCTACTATTTCTAGAGTCAGCCACTGCTCTGATTTTGTTCCACCATAGATTAAGTTTTCCTATTCTTAGAAATCCATATAAATGGAACATACAGTTTTATTTAATGTATCCATCACCTCATATATTATTTCTTTGTGCTGGAATATTCAAAATTCTCTCTTCTAGCTATTTTGAAATGCACAATAAACTATAGTCACTGTGCTGTTATATGATACTAGAAGTTAATCTTCCTATTTAACTGTATTTGTATCTATTAAATAATCCTTGTAAAACCCTTAAACTATATGGGGCTTCTTTCATTCAACATAGTATTTTTAAGATTCATCTGTGTTATTGCATATATCAGTAGTTTGTTCCTTTTACTGTTCCTTTTTTATTGCCTTGTAGGGATATATGACAGGTTTGGGGCTATTAAGAATAAAGCTGCCATGAACATATCTGTACATTTTGTGCAAGAATTTTATGAAAATATGTTTTCATCTTGCTTAAATTCCTAGGGATGAAATTTCTGGGCTATAGAGTAGGTAAATGTTTTGAGCATTTCTTATAGAAGATAAGAGTCAAATGGTCACCAGATGCTATAAGGGTAAGAGGAGAAAGGAGGTGGTTTAATGAGTATGATTAGCTAGGAGGATTAAGTTCTAGTATTCTATAACACAATAGGGTGACTATAGTTAATAAAAATGTGTTGTATATCTCCTAACAGCTAGAAAAGAGAGTATTGAATAATCCAACACAAAGAAATGACAGAAATGTTTGAGGTGACAGATATGCTAATTATTTACATGTATCAAAAATCACACTGTACCCCACAAATAAATGCAAATATTATGTATCAATTAAAATAAAAAATTAAAAGAAATTGCCAAACCATTTCCCAAAGTAGTTGTGCTATTCCTGGGAACCTTTTAAAAAGCATGGCTCCTCCCTCAGGAGATTCTTAATTAATTGTTCAGGAGTGGGACCCAGACATAGGTATTTCTGACATGCTCACCCAGTAGTTCTAATATGCAACTGAAAGTAAGAAATCAAAAAATTTAACATTAGGTCCAGATGAAAGACCTTCACGTACCTATAATATATGTGGAAAAGTTGGGGGTTTTTTCTTACTTTGAAAAGTAGGTTTTTGTTGCCATTTCTTTTTCCTTTACCTTTATTGTTATAAAGTCTTGGGGGTGTCTTCTTTGGCTGTGATAATGCAGGCTTTAGGGGCAAAAGACCTGTTTTTTATTGGCCAGTTTGGCACTTTATAACTGTGTGACTTTGAGCAAATAATTCATCAGATATCTCTCTATAAAATGGGGTTTCTGCTATGCATCCCACTGTTATAAGGAATAAAGTGCATAACTGAGAATGTTTTCTGAAGTTCACTGGAGAACTGGAGTGGGAATAGAGTTATGCAACAACCACCACAACCACTGTCTCAACTACCACCACCAGTCAGAGTCCCTAACACTGCCTTTCTGAACAAAGGAAGACTGACAGTTCTTTTCATTGCTCCCCTAATGTGGCTCTGGCCTGGAGCCTGTGAAAGTCAGAGGTGGGAAAGCTGTCACTCCTTCTTATAATGGCTAGAGTATATCTTGTCTTACAAATTTGTAACTGCTACAAATCAACAGGATAGAGATTTTCCATTGGTTTTCCATTCCTGATGGTGACTTGGGCTGATCTAACTATTCATTGCCCAGACTGCTGGTTAGAATTGGTTAACTAAGTGTTATCCAGCAGCTGAGGTCCTAGTGTATGCCTTCATTGGCTCTGGAGTACTGAACATTGGGTCAGCAACAACAAAAACACCTACCGAACTCTGATCCCCACTCTATGAAACGAGGCTGCTACCCCTAAGGAGACAGACTTGGAGACTCTCTTCTGAGTCCACTTCATATGGCACCATCCAGCTCTGATTGAACTTGTGGCTCCTGACAGTATTTTATATCAAATGCTCAGTACTTGTTTAAAGAAAAACAAATCTCTCTAAAGAATGTTACAAGCAGCATGGTTTGTCTCATTGCACCATCTCTATAAGGATTTGCCTGTTAGCGTCAAGAGTACAGTTGCAAATAATGGTTTTTCCATTTGAGAGAGGCCAGCATGAGGCTCTTGAATCAGAGAAGTGCCAGGTTTTAGCTGTTTTCTGAATAGGAGAATTGAAGAGGATTCTCCTTGTCTTCTACAGACAGCTATAGAGCAGCCAACATTCTTTGCCTTCCCAGGAAGGGAAGTAGGTTTTG